GCCGCTCAGCTATTGGCCGACACATTCAATCAGTGCTCTCAGGAGGGCGTGTCGCAAATCACCGGCGTGATTCGCGAATGGATGGCGACTCAGCAGTCGCAAACAAGCCGTCCACTCAATTTCGGAAGCAACCGAGCGGGGGAATCGGGGCCGTCAGGCGAGGATACAGAGGGAGGTGCGACCATCAATGACGACGTGGAGGTGTGGCATCACAAGGTACTCCTCGTGAAGCGCCACCCCAAGCCGTTTCCGACGCTCCTTCAGATCGGTCTTGGTCACGGCTAGATCGGCACACCAATCATATTCGGCAAGTTCGCCTCTCGTCCACCAGGGGTCTTGGTTAATCAACCGCGCTGCCCACGTGTGATTTGTCGTTTTCAACCTTGCACTCGCCATCTTGAGTCCCATGTTGTGCAGGATTACCACACAACTGGCGCCGGCAAGGACTCGCCATAACGCACACTCATGTCGTCCAGCGAAGAGGCGGTATCGTCCTTTGAGTTGGCCGATAGTTCGCTCCACCGGCATGCGTGTTGCGGATTGGCAATAATTGAAGGTTTGCTCCCACTCGAGCATTAGGCGTCCGGTATGAGCATGTAATGGAGTAAGGCAGTAGCTCCGGAGTGGGTAGGCGGCGTCGCCCAGCAGTTGATATGGCGCGATGTCGCCCCTTTCTAGTCTTTCGTAGAGGCTTGACAGGACAAACACCCTCTGGTCATGCGCGGTGCCTGGATAGCCGATTAGATAGTCCCATATCATCCCTCTTGCATCGCATGTAACTTGAAGCTGCACGGCGTATTGTGATTTCCGCGTGTAGTATTCTGCCCTGTGGCCCTCCATTCCGCAAATTTGTACGTGTGTACCGTCAATTGCACCCACCACCATGGGCACACCTTTGATGCCCCTAAACTCTTCCGCCATGTCGTGCATCTCCTCTTGTGTTGGGAAACGGACCCAGGCTGCTTTGAAGATGGTTGGAAAGTTCTGAAGGAAGATGTCGACGAGGCGATGACATAGTGTTTTTGGCACGCCAAACCAAAACGCAAGGTCCACGTACGCCATGGCACTCGCAAAGTACTTGATCGGTATGAGCACGGCGACCTTCATCGGAATGCAATGTCGTTGTATGACGGGGTTTAGCACGTGAGCCATGCCTTCGCTTATGTAATCCAGAATAGTGCGATTGATGCGGAAAAGGTCGATGAAGGTCTCTTCGGACATTGAAGCCATTTCGTCCTCCCAGACGCCGAGGCGTCGCCGCCGTAAGAGACGATTTCGCGCTCGTAATTCCCCTCGCGTCTCATAATTAGTATCTTCTAGTTCAGCTGTGCTAATCTGCTCCAGAAGCTTACTGCACGAGTTTATTGCACTGTTTAAGAAGGTGTCGAAGTAAAATGCGTGCCAGACTATTAACAGCCGTGGCAGGAAGGGAACGTCTGTCATTTTGAAGAGGCCTCTACATGGCTACTTTGCCGATCGTGGTGGGTTTTCGTACTATTTACCGGCTTTCAATGTGGTCTGGGTTAGAGGACTGAAATGTGCTTCTCGGGTGGAGACATTTTGGTGCTCGTCCCACCCTATGCTCTCGTGGCACGTTTTTTATGTTCGTCGGGGCGCTTGTTCATGCTGGGTCGCAACATGCCACATCAGCTTTTGATTGGAGTCGCACATGTGGGTTAACCGGCAACTTTTTCTGATACGAGGTTTTGGCGAGGTTGTCAATTTACAGGCAGGAGGAGCATTCTTGATACGAGGTGGCCCCGTAGGAATACGCTCTTATACCGTACATTAATACATTATGATAAACAGTTGATGAACAACGGTTCACTCATCTCAAGCCAGACCCAGTAGAGGGACTCAAAATACCTTCTATACACTATGAAGAGAAAGCCTCCTGTGGGTTGACGGAACCCTCACTCTCGTACTCTGAAGATCTGCTTCCTTCGGACCATTCAAGCACCTGCAGCAGCACCTGTAGTCTGCAGGCGGTTAACCCCATGAGCAATGAAGCTGCTTCCCTTGTGTATATCTTTGTCAAGAATCTTCGACCACTCAGTTTTATTCTTCCCCTTGAGCGCGAATGCCACGGCAGTGCCTTGATTTATGCCCCACCCAGGGTTCACCTTCTGCCGAAACAACTTTCCGTTGCTCAGCAAAAGCGTAACGGACTTTCCAACAGAAAGAGCCTTCAGTTGGGAAAACGGCTTCAGGCCCTTGATAATATTGTACGAGACGCTTTTAAAGAGGTTGAGTGCCTCTTCAGGGGTTGTCGGCTGGACGAGGAGGCCACTTGCGCTAAGCGCGGCGTCGGTGGGGATTAAGAGCGTGTTGTAGGCGAAGGGGGACCAGTCGATGCTGGCGGGAACGGTTTCTGCGAGGGACGGAGTGGCGATGGAAAAAGGCGAAGGTTAAAAATCCGAGTCGCAGCGAACGTAATGCCGGGTCGCAGCAGAGAAGGAAAGCAGGAAGATGCAGCGAACGTAATAAAACATTTTTTTTCCGAGGCAGAGGGATACGCCGCCGAAAATCATATGAAATATCGCGGAAGATTTAGTTTGAAGGTAAAAAATGGGAAATAGTGTGTAGGTCGCACCTCCTTGAACAATAAGCTGAGAAATAACTTGACTCATGCCAAGGTATCTCAGGAAGGGGTTCTTAGCCAACTTGCTCTGTAGATCCTTCAGCTCCAATAAGATCTGCGCCGTCGTTGGCGGCACCGCAGCAGCTGACACGAGTATTGGCAATGAAAGCAACAAAACTAGCATCGTTCGGGCTGACACTGTTGACATGGCAGATGACATGTCAACAATGTTGCTAAGTTAGTCAGGGTGGATTCTGTGACGATAAATAGGGACTGGCGGAATACGCGACAGAAGTTAGGACATCGAAAGAGAGCGTCTGGAAGCTAACGACTCTGGTCTGGCTCTGTGTGGAATCTGTACCAGGTCTGGTGTCGGTCGAAGGAACGATGACCGCAGCACGAAGCATTCGAGATGGCGGCTGGGAGGGGAGATTGAAGGAAGAAACTGGTGGGAGGGCGGCTTTGAGTTCTTGACAGGTAGTCGGGGAGGGGGGGCGAGGCGAGGGGGATGGGTTCGGTTCGGTTCGGGGGGTGAAGGGGCGGGCTTGGTGGAGGGGGGAAAGGGCATCCGCGCTGTCCTTGTCCTGTGTGGAGTGGCGGATCCAACCAGGGAGACAGATTGTGTCTGCCTATGTGTCGGCTCGGGAGAGCCGAAGCTGGACCGTCGGCCAGATTGACGGTCCGGCTAATTGCCTCAGGGCTGGTTACCCGAAAGCGTGCAATCTCCACCTCGAAACGCTTGGGTTGAGTGGTTTGAGCTTGATTGTTAAACGTTTCTGAACGGTATGCCGTCAGTCTTTTTGACACGTCAGGATGATGTAGCATTGTGACACGTGCTTGGAGTCCTACAGTTGTTGCCTCGCGAACCCTCCACCCGTGCCTTCCACTTTGGTCGGTGGTCGGGCGTAACTGATTCGGTACGAAGGCTTTTCTCAGAGTGCACTGTAGCGCAGTGCAGTTCCGAGGCACTTGTTGAAAAATAGTGAAAACAACTGCCAGAATCCTCGTTAGAAGTAGAATAGCTAGGAAGTAGTGAGAACCTATGCCTAGGAACAGATGAGTAAAGGTTGTTCAATGTTACCATATACCTAGTTACACGATCAAATTAGTCATTTCGGCTTCGAAAGTCAATGAACGAATTCACAAACAACCAAATAGCATTTACTTCATGTTTCCGTTAAATACAACCACTAACACATCTAGCAGCCTTACTCAACACAAAGCCATGCTTCTCATCGCCGCAGCAAACATTGACTGAACAAAAATGACTTCATAGGGCTGCACCTAACAAGTGGAGAACAAAATACACAGAGCGAGCTGAAGAATCAGCGCAGGCAAAGAGCTCTTGGATCTGTTGAAGGCCTCCTTGACCTTTTTTGGACACCTCTTACCGTATCAGACTCGCATGGTTCAACGCGTTTTAGTCAGCTCAGCTTTGTAGATGTGCCGAACAGCGCGTTCCCACGGTGTTAACAGAGAGGTTCCCTCTGGTGGTAAGTATGACCCAGACGTGGGTGGGGAAGAGGACAATGCAGGGAAGGGGAAGATGGGGAGAAGGCACAACCACGCATGGTGGCATGGCATGGGATGGGAACATCAGTGCAGGGCAAAGAGGTCCCAGATGTGGTTGCGTATCTCCATCACCTCACATCCGAATGACAAAATCCACTTTGCTGGCGATGTGTGCTTCAGCTGCTTTGTGACAGTTGAGATCCTTTCCAACCAGGACAGTATTGCATTGCAAGTGGAGGCACAGCTGCTTCAATGTGCACCCCAAATACATCAAAGAATCTAGGGTAGACCAAAGGATGATGAAGAGGTTCACTCATCTCAAGCCAGACCCACTGAAGAGAAGCTTATATACCAGAGAATATGAACAGAGGAAGCTTTCTGCGGGTTGGGTTGCGTAACCTCCCACCAAAGCAGTCCCTAAATCTGCCTCTTCTGGATCGGTCAAGCGCCTCAAGCAGTCTGCAGGCGATCAACCCCATGAGCAACGAAGCTTCCCCTGTGGAGATTTTTGTCAAGAATTCTCGACCACTGTTTTTTATTCTTCCCCTTGAGCGCGAGCGCCACGCTAGTGCCTTGATTCATGCCCCAACCAGGATTCACCGTGTGCCGAAACAATTTCCCATTGTTCAGCAGAAGCGCAACCGACTTTCCCTCTGGAAGAGCTTTCAGCTTGGCGAACCGCTTCTTGCCTTTTATGATGTTAAAGGAGAGGCTCTTAAAGAGGTTGAGTGAGGCTCCTGGGTTTTTTAGATTCGGGAGGAGGCCACTCGATAGAAGCGCGGCGTCGGTGGGTATTAAGATGGTGGTGTGAATGAAAAGGGTCAAGTCCATGGCGGTGGGGAGGGCTTCTGCGAGGGACGAGTGGAGGGGATGGGAAGGAGGTGGGTGGGGGATGACGGAATGAGCGTTATGCGAACATGACTTTGAAAGGCGCCTCAAAGATGGTGATGTGAATAAGAGGGATCGAGTAGATGGCGGCGGGAAGGGCTTCTGCGAGGGACGAGTGGAGCGGATTGGAAAAAAAGGCGAGGGACGACGAAATGTGCGTTTCATGCCAATCGATCGTTGAGTGAAAGGTGTAAAACGGTGGGCATGACTCAAGTCTGGACGGGAAAAGAAAGTAAGTTGATGGTAGAACTGAGATGATAAGCCCTGTTAATCGAGCGCGAGTCGCAGCAGGGAAATGGAACAAGGGAGATGAAGACCTGAGTTTTTCTAAGTCAGCACAGGTAGGCTCATCACACAGCGGGGCAAATATAAATAAACGACGATGACCGTAAACGGTCTTACTTCCTTGAAATCAGCTGAAAGAGAACTTGACTCATAACGAGGTATCTTAGACGGGGAATGTTTAAGTCGACTCAAAAGTCAACCCGACGATGATCGTAAGTGGACTTACTTCCTTGAGTAATCAGCTGAGAAAGAACTTGACTCATGACGAGGTATCTTAGACGGGGATTTAGCATCAACTTCTGGCGCAGCGCCTTCAGCTCCCCTATGATTCCCGCCGTTTTTGCCGCTGCCGCAGCTGTCGCTAACGGGTCCGCAGCTGTCGCCAACGGGTCTGCAGGTGTCGCCAACGAATCCGCAGGTGTCGCCAACGGGTCCGCAGCTGTCGCCAACGGGTCCGCAGCTGTCGCCAACGGGTCCGCAGCTGTCGCCAACGGGTCCGCAGCTGTCGCCAATAGCGCCAGGGAAAGGAGAGCAGCTAGCAGCAGCGTTCGGACTGACATGGCGGCTGACGTGTATACACTCAGCTAAACAGGCTGTTGCAATATCAGAGAATGTGAATCTGAAACGATCGACAGCTAGTGGCGGATAGGCGACAAGGTTGGAGCAAGCAGAGATGTTTTCTTGATACAAACAGGAGAACGCAATAAATTCACGATCAAGCGAGTCACTCTGGCTTTGTGTGGGCTCAACTACGTCGAGTGTGGTGGCATGGAGGGACAATGACTTGGTTTGGTTTGGCAGGTGTTTCCCGAGTGTCGAAGCAACAAATGGCGGCCGGGAGCGAGAGGGGAAGGAAGAAAAGGAGGGGACGGCGGAAATGGGGACGAGACGGGGAGGGGGAACGGAGGAAATGTGGGGTAGGGAAGGGGAAGGGGAACGGGGCCCTGGTGGGGGGAACACCATCTGCGCGCTTGTGATCGATAATCGAGGCAAGTGGGGGGACAAATTTTGGAGAATGTAGATTTGCCTCGACGGAACCCCCTTCCACGGCGCTCTCGGCTGGATTTGCTGCGATGCCCCTCCTGTCCGTTCTCCAAGTTTCAAAGCGGTTTGACGATATATAAGACATTTCCTGAACGGTTTACCATGTTCAAGCGCGACACGCCAGGGTGGTGAAGCCGAGATGCGTGGGAATCGCACGGATGCAGCGTCGATTGTGTCCCCAAATGTTGGTGGGTCGATTTACAGCATTCAAGCTTATTGGTGGTGTACGGTACGGATGCTTTGTCGAATGATTCAGGGCGGTGCTAAAAACAATAAAAGAAACGTCAATATCGTTCTTCGAGTACGAGTACAGAATTATGGGACTAAAAACTGGCATTCAATCCCGCTGCAAATTAGGAGAATATATGACAGCACTTTGGAACAGCTACAAGTTGTTCATGCTTTTGTTACACATCAGCAAACAGTCTGGGGTGTCAACCCACCATCTCATCTCACTACACAACTAATGTCAACTTATGTCACTGTATCTAGTGGCCTTTCACTAGTCACCTAGTCTTGTTTCTCATAACACAAAAAACAGACTGAGCCAGCTAGTGTTTTCTTGTAATCTAAAATATCCCAAGGGAGCAAGAGCACCGCAGAGCGAAACGAAGAATCAGCGTGGGGCAAAGAGCTCCTGGATCTGGTTGAAAATCTCCATCACCTGCCAGGCAGTGTAAGCATGACACGGGTTTGGGTGGGGGAGAGGAGGGGACGATGCAGGTAAGTGGACAATGTCGAGTAGGCACAACCAGTGAGGTGGGGCAAAGAGCTTCTGATATCTGGACCTGGTCGAAGATCTCCATCACCTGCCAGACAGTGTAAGCATGACACAGGTTTGGGTGGGGGAGGGGACAATGCAAGGGAGGGACAAGCGGATAAGGTACAACCAGGCATGATCACAAAAGAACATCAATGCGATGGGGCAAAGAGCTCCTGGGCCTGGTCAAAGATCTCCATCACCTGCCAGACAGTGTAAGCATGACACAGGTTTGGGTGGGGGAGGGGACGATGCAGGTAAGTGGACAATGCCGAATAGGCAGAACCAGTGCGGTGGGGCATAGAGCTCCTGGACCTGGCTGAAGATCTCCATGACCTGTTAGACAGTGTTATTACGACCCAGATTTGGGCGGGGGAGAGGACAACGCAGCAGATGGGGAAACGCGAAAACAAACACAATCATGAAGGACAGCAACAGAGCATAAGCGTGGAGGGGCAAAGAGCTAAAATCTCGATTGAAGATGCCCTTTCCTGTCAGCAGTGATCGTCCAATGCAGCACAAAACAGGTCAGAGCAGAGTCAGAGTGCGACTCAGATTCATGTGGCGAATTCAGGTGATTTAAGGCTGTTTTTGAGACGTCTCAAAAACAACATTCAGTGACGTGGATTCATGTGGGGAATGAAGAGAAGGCGCATGCAGCCTGCAGGCACAGCGGCAGGAGGAAACGCTCTTTAGCGATCCAAACTTATCCTCGGGCGACTTTTTGAGGCGCCTCAAAATGCACCTCACTACATGCAGGCACAGCGGCAGGAGAGAACGCTCTTTAGCGATCCAAACTTCTCCTCGGGCGACCAAGGGAAGCAGTTTAAACGGAGGGAAAAGAGCAAGGATGAGGTGCTTGCGAGCTGGTCGGAGCAATGAAATGACTAGTCTAGATGCCTAAAAAATAGTTAATGATGCGAGAACCACTTGCAGGGCTGCTGGGTACAGCTATCGTCCAGCCCACATTGATTTTGATTGGTGGGTCTCATAATTGCTTATGTCAGCATCGTGCTTGCTTACCTCAGCATCGTTTTGGTACTTGGTCCAGTTCACGGGATTGGAGGACACCTGTGGGGATGCATGCCATGCCATGCAATTCCATTCCATGCCATGCCATTCCATTCCATGCCATGCCATGCCATTCCATGCCATTCCATTCCATGCCATTCCATTCCATGCCATGCAATCCCATGCAATCCCATATGGACAAGATACGTGCCATGCCATGCCATGCCATGGCATCAAGATAGAATGAAAGCAGACTCATGCAGATGCACACATATCCAGATGCAGACACATGAACAGAGAGTAACCATCTTATGAAGCTCAGGGTGACCATATACCACCCATAGTGTGGTGGGCCGGTAGCTTAGAGAACATGCAGCTCTATGCACACACATCCACAAAACGGGGCTGCTTATACTGAGAGCAAACAAGAAAAGTAATAACAAGCACGAGGCAGGATACTAAGTACAGTAAGAAATGCTCATATCGAACCGATATGCTTATGAATATAGCGAGTACAGAAAGATGCTCACATCGAGGATGGCAGCCTGCAGGCGGGGGTTCTGGAAGGCAGCGGCGAGCTTTGGGTTGGACATGATTTTACCCACCACGTCCTCTGGTGACATGCCCAGCTGGGCTGAAAAGGGGAAAGGGGAGTGAATGGGAGAGATACGAGGGGATTTAAGGGCATTGACAACCATGCAGGGCGAGTTCAACAGAACTGATTATTGACTTCGGGGCTGTTGAGATCGAAACTCTTCATCATCTCCAGCTTTGAAACTCACGGGGTCTGTGAACTGATAACATTGCTCCTTGCCCTCACAGAAATGGTCAGTGCAGCACTCACAACCCAGGGTAGTTGTTGCAAAGAAACTCACAGAACTGGTCCTTGACTTCAGGGTTGTTGAGGTCGAAGCTTTTCATCATGTCCAACTTTTGGACTCGAAGGGGTTGTCAGCTGACAGCATTACTGCTTGAGCTCACAAAACTGACCCCTAATCAACACAGCAACTCACAGAACTGGTCCTTGACTTCGGGGCTGTTGAGGTCGAAGCTCTTCATCATGTCCAGGACTCTGTCATCAAAGCCCGTGCCGCCCATGTTGTCGCTGCGGGGAGGAGGGGGAGCGTGGGGGACAATGGGAGAGGAAAAGGGAAACAATGTGATGAGAAGAGGGGAAGAGCAGGGAGACAAGGGACAGCAGAGGTCGAAGCTCTTCATCATGTCGAGGACTCTGTCATCAAAGCCCGTGCCGCCCATGTTGTCGCTGCAGGGAGGGAGAGGATGGGTACGGAAGCGATGCGATGCGAGGAAGCGGGTGAGAAGGGAAACTATGTGATGAAACGAGGGGAAGAGAAGGGAAAGGATGTGATGAGAAGCAAGGCTACAAGGGACAGGAGAGGTCGAAGCTTAGTGGTGAAGAGGTGGTGCAGAAAAGGGCGGAGAGGAGGGGTGGACAAGGGCAATCCTGGGACGGAAAACGAGGGGACATGGGACAAGGGAGCAGGGAGGACGGGGGGAAGCATGTGGTGGAGGGAGGAGTAGAGGTAGTGCTGGGAAAAATGGGGATGGATGGGAAACAGGGAGACAGAAGCGGTTTGAGGAGGAAAGGAGGGAAGGAGGGAAGGGTGAGCAAGCGGAGGAGAGATAGGAAACTCACAGCATGCTCTCTAGCTGCTGGCGGTACATGGGGCTCTGCATCATCCCTGCAGCGCATGGGCGGGTGGGGGGAGGGGGGAGGGAGAGATGATATTGCATGTGCTGGCGGTACAGGAGACATCGACTAACAAATTGCTTCACGTGCTGGGGAAGAACGCGGAGAGGAGCGGTGGGGAGGGGAAGAACGCGGAGAGGAGCAGTGGGGAGGGGAAGAACGCGGAGAGGAGCGGTGGGGAGGGGAAGAACGCGGAGAGGAGCGGTGGGGAGGGGAAGGGAGAGAAGGAGAGGAGGGGTGGGGAGGGGAAGGGAGAGAAGGAGAGGAGGGGTGGGGAGGGGAAGAAAGAGAAGGAGAGGAGGGGTGGGGAGGGGAAGGAAGAGAAGGAGAGGAGGGGTGGGGAGGGGAAGGAAGAGAAGGAGAGGAGGGGTGGGGAGGGGAAGGGAGAGAAGGAGAGGAGGGGTGGGGACGGGAAGGAAGAGAAGGAGAGGAGGGGTGGGGACGGGAAGGAAGAGAAGGAGAGGAGGGGTGGGGAGGGGAAGAAAGAGGAGAGGAGGGGTGGGGAGGGGAAGGAAGAGAAGGAGAGGAGGGGTGGGGAGGGGAAGGAAGAGACGGAGAGGAGGGGTGGGGAGGGGAAGGAAGAGAAGGAGAGGAGGGGTGGGGAGGGGAAGAAAAAGGAGAGGAGAGGTGGGGAGGGGAAGGAAGAGAAGGAAAGGAGGGGTGGGGAGGGGAAGGAAGAGAAGGAGAGGAGGGGTGGGGAGGGGAAGGGAGAGAAGGAGAGGGGGGTGGGGAGGGGAAGGGAGAGAGGGAGAGGAGGGGTGGGGAGGGAGAGGGAGAGACGGAGAGGAGGGGTGGGGCGGTAGAGGGAGAGACGGAGGGGAGGGGTGGGAAGAAGGATAAGAGGTGTGGGTGGAGGTGCGTACACTTGAAGGTGGCCGGGTCTCTCATCTCCTCTGGCAGATACCTGCAGGGCAGCACGAGTGTGAGGAGGAGGTCAAAAGGAGGAAAGTATGTGGGGCAAATGCATGCCTTTGCAGATAGATAGATGCTGTGCAGTGCAATGCAGGGCAACACGTGTGAGCGTGGGGAAGACAGAAGAGCAGCTGAGCTTGCAGAGTGGAGGGAGCAGGGAAGATGAGAATCCGTCAGTGATATGGAAAGACGAGAGTGGCAAAAGCGTTACGGGGGTGGAGTGGAGTTACTAAAACACAACCAGCAGGCATAAATGCACTCTCATGGGGCAATGCGGCAATTACACCCGGAAACTCACGGGAAGACCATTTTCTGCACCATGGGGTCCTCGAGCATCTTCTCCAGCGCCTCCACTGTCATCTTTCCCTTAGCCCCGCCTGCTCAGGGTATCATCGACATTTACACCGAATGCGCCGGATATATTATTCTCTGATGATGGTGGTGAGAATAATGATGGCAATCTCACAGAGGATTTTTGGGAGTTGACTAATAAAATGGGAACCTCGCAAAGGAAATGGTGGTGCATCTCTAATGCTGCTTGCTATGGTGAACCAAGCAAAGGCGGCCTTCGTTCGCCACCATTTTTGAGGCGCCTCAAAAATGGTGCATCTCTCTCTAATGCTGCTTGCTATGGTGAACCAACCAAGCAAGCAAAGGCAGCCTTCGTTCGCCACCAGAAATGCTGCCGCACACAAGCACTCACCACCTCCCCCGTTTGCAAACGAGTTGGTGGACGCATCCCAGTGGCATTAGGGCGTATTCGGGACTTCGTGTCATCTACGCTTCGTGTCATCCAAAATCATGGGATCCAATCGGAAAATTCGAATCTCGAACCGCGGGTTTTCAGATTGGCTCCCACAATTTCGGATGACACAAATTCGGGATGACACAAAGCTACGAATACGCCCTTAGAGGCAACAGAGGAGGTATTGCTGCTGCTGTTGTTTGTTCTTACGGGACCGCATACCAGCACTCACCAGCTCCCCCATTGGCAAACGAGTTGGTCGAAGTGTCCCAAGTGGCATTCGACGCATTGCCACCGCTGCTGCCGGCGCTGCTGCCGGTGTTCCCCCAGGAGAAGCCTCCCCCAGATAGCTCCTCCACCACCTGGCAAAGGTGAGCACGGGGTTAGAAGGGGCAAGTGGCATCAGACGAATTGCAACCGCTGCTGCTACAGCTGCTGCTGGTATTCCCCCAGGAGAAGCCTCCCCCAGATGGCTCCTCCACCACCTGGCAAGGGCGAAAGCATGGAGAGGCCATGGAATGGGATTGGGGAGGTGGAGTGGAGAGGAAGGTTGAGCTGCAGTGCAGCTGCTTCGAGACGTCTTCAAGCTGGCACTGCTGGATGGATTGGATAGTGGCAGTTTCAGAACGTCTTAGAATGTCTTAAAAAGTTGCACACCGAGCACAGGAGGATGGGCTGCAGCTGCTTTGAAACGGTTATGGGAATTCTAGTAAGTGACTACAGACATAAGTGACTACAAACATAAGTGACTACAAACATAAGTGACTACAAACATATTGAGCGCAGGAGGTTGGGTGCTGTTTTTTTGTGGGTGCTCCATCACTTACAAGTGCCTCACGTCGGCATAGAGCTCACCTCAGCGTCTTGAAAGAAGCTCTTCTTCTTGCTGCTGCTGCTCTCCGCCTCCTCCTCTGCTGAAGCAGGGCTGCTGCTGCTGCTGCTGCTGCTGGTAGTGCTGCTGGTGCTGGTGGTGGTAGAGGGAGCAGCTGCAGCAGCGGCTGCTGGTTTAGCATCTGCCACTTTTGCTGCAACGTCCACCACTGCTGCGAGTGAAGAGGGAGGGGCGGGGTAAAAAGGGAGTGGAAAGAGAAGGTAGTGTGAGAGGAAGGAGGAGCAGCAGGGTTGGAAGGTGGGTTGGCGCCTGCTGCTTGTGCTGCCACGTCCACCACTGCCGTGAGTGGATCACAAACTGGGAAACGGAAACGGAAACGGAAACGGGAGGCGAAAGGAAGGCTCAACGAACAATGTAATGGCATCAGATATGGTATCATTTTTTTGTTCTCATGGAAAGGATCGAACACTATCCATTGCTTTCAGCTCATCTGCCCAGTCTAGACCTGTTAGGTGGGTAGTTTGCTATTCGAGAGAAAATATGATGCAAGGAAAGAAGGATGAAGCAGTGTGTCTTATTGAAAAAGGGTGCCAGACATGATTGATAAAGGAAGAAGCATGGAATGGAATGGAATAGCCTTGATTAGAGGGCAACAGACCAGGCAGCCTTACATTCCATGAGAGTACAAACAAGAACGGCATCGTCTTGGAAAGTGGCATCAGACAGGCTTAAATTTTAGACGAGAAACTGGTGCAAGAAGAGGAGGAAGCGGAACAAAGGGGGAACACGCCGTGTTCAACACGGCACAGCAAAGGATGAAACAGTGTGATGGCATCAGATGAACAAACGTTTCTTTTCTCATGGATCAAGTCGAACACTATCCATTGCTTTCAGCATCACTTGCCATTCTCAATATGCAGGGGCGGAATCCTGTACAGTCTAGGAAATTACTATTTTTGAGGTACATCAAACAAAAGAATTTGCCATTCTGAACATGCAGCGACAGTGCAAGGTTTACACTTCAAAGAAAGACAATGAGATGTGAGCGATAAAAGAGGATCAGAGGATCAGGCAGCATCAATCAGCAAGAAAGGCATGAGACATCAGGAGGACGTAACATTCTTCAGAATCTAAAGAGATAACAGACCCACAAGCGTGTGGGAAGCGAAGGAAGAGAGAACAGAACCTTGGCATCAAATCAAGGTCTATTCTCATGGAGACAATCAATCAAAACCAAAATGTTTCAGAATCCCTTGCCAAGACTAGACACATGCGTGGCAAATGAGACAGCCCAACGAAGCAACAATGACAGACAAACAAACGCATCGCGATGGAAGGAAGACGCGATGGAAGGAAGACGCGATGGAAGGAAGACGCGATGGAAGGAAGACGCGATGGAAGGAAGACGCGATGGAAGGAAGAGGAACAGCGAGGCACATGGAGGGAAGACTCAACTCAACACTCTGACTGACAGACTATCGATTTTTGAGTCGAATAAGAAATCGTCTCATCACACGCGGGAGGAAGAGTAACAGTGGAGCACACGAAGGGAAGGCTCAACACACTCCGATGGCATCAGACACAACATCGATTTTGTTCTCATAAAGAGTCTCGAACACTATCCATTGCTTTCAGCATCACTTGCCATTTCCAATTCAAGCAGGGGGTGAGTAGTAGGGGGATAACGGATCAAATCAAAGAGGAGGCAGGAAGGGCAAGGAAGGAAATGGGGGGCTGAATCAAGACATGAATGGCGGCTTGTGGTGGGGGCACAGGCATAGCAGCGTGAAGATGGGGGCTACACCAACTCATTGCGTGGCATCAGATGGTATCTCTTTTGTTCTCATGGGAAAGTCGAACACTATCCATTGCTTTCAACATCACTTGCCATGTAGAGAGGGTGATTGGTCAGAATACCCATGGAGGGTAAACATGGATAAGACCTCAGAGGACCAGGGGAAGCGACAAATGAAGAAACAAATGAAAGGAAAAGAGAGAGAAACAGGAATGGAAGGGATTACTACAGGTGCTCAAACCCCTCAGCAACGCACCTGCAGACGCCTTGGTGGCTGTGGAGGAAGGTTCAGCCTCGGAGGAACCAGAAGAGGGGGATGAGAAAGTGGAAGAAAGCATATCTCAGTCAACTTAAAAATCGCCAACGCACCTGCAGACGCCTTGGTGGCTGTGAAGGATGGTTTAGCCTTGGAGGAACCAGAGGAGGGAGGGGGAAGACGAGGAGGAGGAGGGTGATGATGTGGGTGATGCTGGTGCTGGTGGTGGGAAGGGCATGCCACCAAAGGGGTTTGCTGCTCCGCACCTGATTGACCAGATTTTACTAAGAATCCAACACCCATTTGTCAACGCACCTGCAGACGCCTTGGTGGCTGTGGAGGAGGGTTTAGCCTTTGGAGGAAGAGGGGGAGGAGGAGGGAGAGGAAGAGGAGGGTGATGAGGAAGAGGAAGAGGGATTATCTGAGTCAACTAAAAACTCGCCAACGCACCTGCAGACGCCTTAGCGGCTGTGGAGGAGGGTTTAGCCTTGGACGACCCAGAGGAGGCGGACGAGGGAGAGGAGGAGGAGGGTGATGCTGGTGGTGGGAAGGGCATGCCACCGAAGGGGTTTGCTGCTCCTCCGCCGCCCATGGCCGCAAACGGGTTGTCACCGCCTCCCATGGCCGCAAATGGGTTGGCGCCGCCGCCCATGCCAGCTGCCGCAAACGGATTGGCCGCGCCGCCCGGGCCCCCTCCGGATTGCATGGCATTGAGCATCTGCTTCATCATGGCTTGCTGGTGGGGGTGGGAGACAAGTCAGAGACGGGGGGGAGGGGGCAACGGACAGGGGAGAATGAAGCATGGAGCATGAGATAACAACGCTCCTTTCCCCCTTCCCCTGGCTCCGGTGCATGGCGCTGAGCATCTGCTTCATCATGGCTTGCTGGGTGGGGTGGGAAGGGAGAGATGGGGGGAGAGAAGGGAGAGGTGGGAGAGACTAACAGGTGTGGGTTGCAAGATGAGACGCCCAGCAAGAGTCAATTGACCTAGAAGGTACGCTGAACAGCCTGCTTGTCTAAAACCGCATCTCACCTGCATGCACCACTGCTCACCTGCTTGCACCGCTGCTCACCTGCATGCGCTGCATGACGAACTTGGAGCCCTGGAGGGAGGCGAGAGCGCCATTGGCGTTACACGTGAGAGAGGCAGACAAGGAAGAAGGGAGAAGAGGGAAGGGAGAACTGAAAGAAGGTTGTGTGGAGCTACAGAAAGGAGAGAAGAGAGCATGCGGTGGGCTGGCGAGAGAAGCAAAGAGCGGGAAGGAGCAAAGGTGATATGAGGAGCAAAGACAGGGAAAGGACGGAGGTATGCAGGGGGGCATGCATGAGGGGCATGAGGGGGGCCATGCATGAGGGGCATGAGGGGGGCCATGCATGAGGGGCATGAGGGGGGGCATGCATGGGGGGCATGCATGAGGAGGATGCATGTGGGTCATAGACTGTAATTCTGGCTGGTAACTTCCGAGAGTTCTCACCCAGGAGGCAAAGAGTGAGAGAGCCACGCCCACGCCCACCCACATGAGAGGCGTGCCCCTGCATGGCCGTGGGGGGGAGGGGTGGTAAGGAGGCGAGAGGGGGGGGGGGAAGAGCGAGGAGAAGGTCGAAGAGGTGCAAGAAGACGTTGTGACACCCCGGAAACGAGGGTCAGAGCCACCGCCAGTGGCCCACACCACACCACACTCACCCAAATTGGCCCACACCACGCCACATGAGAGGTGTGGCTCTGTTTGCTGGGGATAGGGGCGACTGGAGCGGAAATAGGTAGACTAGTTGCGTGCGCATGACTGTACAGTAACATGTGCACGTACGTGTGTTTTGATGGGTCCGCCTACGACCGGACTTGAACCGGAGACCTGTCACTTATGTATGCCCATGTATGCCGATGTGCAGCCCTCTCTTACTCTTACTTGAAACAGAGTCTGCATGTCAATGTCGCCACTGCCATCTCTACACACCTCGGTCCATCCCTCTCCATATCTCTGCACCTCTCTGCGTCTCTTTGCATCTCTCCGCATCTCTCTGCATCTCTCTGCACCTCTCCACATCCCTCTCCCTCGTGCCACGTACGGGTAGGAGGACAGCTGTGATGGGCGCACGGGAGGTGGTGCTGACGTGGACTGCGACACTGACGCCAGCAACACCTGACGTGGACTGAATCCCTACACCCCTCTCTCTCTCGTGCTACGTACGTACGGGTAAGAGGACGGCTGTGATGGGCGCACGGGAGGTGGTGCTGACGTGGACTGGGATACTGACGCCAGCAGCACCTGCTGCTGAGCGGCACCGGATGACACTGTGGTGGTAAGGCAGGGGGGTGTGGGACGACAGGGGCACGGGCGAAAGGGGGGGAGGGGAGGGGGGGGAAGGGGGGGGAAGGGGTGCAGGAGATGGGAGGGGAGATTGGAAAGGAGTGATGGTAATGGGGAGCGGGGAGGGGAAGAGAATGGGGGAAGAGAAAAAGCAGGAGCATGCAGGGGATTGGGAACATACCAATGTCATATGCATAGGCCCGTCATGCCCTTGTCATACCCATTTTACCCATGCCATATACCCACACCACACCCATGCCATGCCACAGCCATGCCATGCTTTGCTGAGTTTCCCTTACATTGAATGCTAACAGATCCTGCTAATTTTCACTCTAAAACCATATGCACCGTAAAACCCTTGATAAACCTCGGCAGCCATCTCAAGCGCTTTCCCCCATAAACTCCTGATAAACCCTTGATCGTGTTTTCTCTTTCTCGCCTGCGCCCATTCCCCTCCCCTCTGCCACGGCCTCTCACCATACCTATGCTTGTCGCACTGTAACTTCCCTCAACCACAGCGCACCACTGTGCTTCTCACCCCGCCAAACCGTTCCCCACCCTCTCCCCACTTCTCTCCCCACCCTTTCCCTTCAACTCTCCCAATCGTCCCCCTCTCCCATCCCCTTCCTCATCTCACCTCTGTCCCCCCCCCTGCTCGCGCCCCTTCCCCCCGCTGCCGCCGCCACCGCCGCTCCTGGTCTAAACCCCGCTGTCCTGACGACACGTGGCGCTCCAGGAGTAGGCCCGGAACGTCCTAGCGGCAGCCACGTGGCGGGTGAGAGAGACGCCGGTGCTGACGTGGCACCTCTGAGAACGGGCTCGCCCGCAAGTAGCGCCGCCTGAGCGAAAAAACGAAAGGGGAGGAGGGGAAGAGCGAAACAACGAGCGGGGCGAAATGGAAATTAATTAAAGACGTTCCAAGAGGGCGTGGGAGAGAAGAGTCACACAAGAGGTCTTCTAAGTGAGAGCGGAATCGAAGGATAAATCATCTAATAAGGAGGTTATTAATAAGTAGGAGGAGGCGCAAGGGTGACCTTTTACTATCGTCCTACTGTAACCGAGGCAGAGGGCACGAGAGCGTGTGGGGAAGCAACGACAGCACGTGTGGAACTGTGTGTGAGGACGCGACACCCATCGCATCGGGTTTCAGTCGCTTTGCTTCAGTATCAAGCTGTCATCGTATAGACTCGCCTCGGAATTTGTCTGAGATTGATAACCTAATATAATTTTCTCAAGGAGACGATGTCGCAGTGAGAACTCATATTCTTGTCTGGAGATTTAGTTTTACTCAAGTGAGTGTGCTAATTCCTTCATGCGCCACAAGACAGCATTAAGTTTTTTTTTTATCAGGCCTACCCAAGCCACGCCTACCTGTGTGTTGGCGCATTTGGCGGTTGACTGGATCATCGCACTCGCCATCATCGCGACCCAACTCGGTGATCACTTAGTCACGCCTACCCAAGCCACGCCTACCTGTGTGGCGGCGCATTTGGGGGTTGAATGGATCATCGCACTCGCCATCATCGCGATTCGGCTTTGTTGGTCGTTGACGATGTTTCAAGCGCTTCGCGATATGACCGTTACCGGCAGCCCCTTGAAGACCTGCGACCTGCGACAGGAGAGGTAGACACGGAAGATGTACGGTGAGTGACGTTCGATCCAGGTGGCCTTTTGACTGAAGAGTCGCTTTGGTTTTAAAGTTAGATGGATCAGGATAAGGAGGATGTGGGTTGCGGAGAGGATGAGACAGAAAGCGAGAAGACGAGGCGGACTACCTCGGAGTCAGGTAGTCGAGCGGGGGAAATGCAGCACCTTACAAGAGAGGTAAGAGAGGTGGGAAAAAAAAAGGGAGAAAAAAAAAAGGAAGGCGACGAGACTTGTGAGTCGATTCAGAAGTAACCTTGATCTTGGCGACACTGACGTCCAAATGCACCCCAAGGCACCGACACCCAGAGGGAATGAGTGTTGGTGAGAAGGGATGAAGGGTTATATTATTGAAGGATCGAGGATAGAAAAGGGGGAAAGTGGAAGCAAGAGGGTGGGATCGGGCAAACTCACTTTATTCCCCAACCCCGCGATGGGAACGAGTAGAGTTTTATAGAGACGAGTCGTATCCAATATTTGACCGAGGGAGATGGCCGGGAGTTACGATCGTGGAGGAGCAGCAAGCCTTGAAGCAGGAAACAAATGGATGCTCGGAAATCCAGCAACAAATATAGGCGAACTTCCGTGATCCAAGTAACAAGGGACAGGAGCAAAGGAGCCTGGACTGCTGACTAGACGCAATATATCTTCAGCTATTCCACATTCCACACGTCCGCATGAAGCCGCACGTGGCACGTTGCTTCTGGCAATTCATACATAATTATTCCATATTGCTGCGAACAGTAAGTACGAATTCATGACATACAAGCTCGAAAACATGCAACTAGGTAACAAAGAGCTCGATGCAAATAATGGAATTTATCTTGTAATGTAGATCTTGCACCTGGATAGATGAAGCTTATTGGGAAGGAATTTGCTGGAAGCACCTCAGAATCTGATGCTATGAATATTTCCATGGATGTTTCGCTTGATAAGAAAGACCATTATCTTGTTTTGTAATATTAACCAATATATCTCATCTTTAGGAAGCTCAAAGTTTGTAAGGAATAAAATTCCGGACAAGTACAGAGAAGCTCCCCCTACAGCGCGCGCGGCTACACTCATCACGAAAGCTGGCTGAATTCCAGCCTAGAGAAGTGACTGCCCACTGTCAAGAAAGTTGTGAATCAAGCTCCAGCCTAAAAATCTGTTCCTGAGTTAATCGGAGGTAGTCTGAGGTAATTTCTGAAGGGTTTCAGCAGTCATACGTGGTTACGGATTAGAGCACGCGCGAATCTTGGTATGTCCCTTTAGTCCACCCCTGAAGTAAACGGCTTTATAAAGCATCCCACTGGGAATGGACCATTGCTCACGGTGATGGCTTCATGTCTCGTCGGTCTCGTTTTTGTTCTTTAGCCGTCGACTTCGTTCATTTTGTATCAGCGCTCCGCTCATCCTCCCACCCCTCTGTCGGCTCAGCGTCCATCTCTCCACTATCTCCTGCTTCCTTCTCTCTCCTCTCATCTTCCCTTCCTCATTGTTTCGTCCCTCCCGTCGCCCCACGTCAGAGCGACTGAGACCCCAGCAGCAGTGCCTCCTCGCCGTCTTTATTGCGCCAGCCCTAACCCTAACCCTAACCCGACCTACGTGCGTGGCTTCCACGTGGCAGCAGCGCGCTGCACTCGATCTTGCGCTTTGAGGCCCGCGAGCATTGAGGCGCGCCGACCGGAAGCTCAGGGCGGAGTTCCCGTCAACGGGTCCCGGCGCACGGCCCCTGCCCTTTTAAAGCGCGTGCGGAGCGGAAGAGGGGCGGCAAGGCGTGCGCGCGGGGAGGCAAGGTCCAGGAGCGGAGAGGGGAGAGGGGAGAGGGGAGGCAACGCGATGGGCGACATGCAGGGGCGCGTGGAGGAGCGGCTCAGAGCCGCGTTGCAGCCGCAGGAGCTGGTGAGACGCGGGAGTGGTGTGCGGTGGTGAGAGGTGGAGTGGTGATTGGTGGTGAGACGCATACGTGGTGAAACGCGGAGACGGTGTGTTGATCTGATGGTTGGGTGTTGTATGATTGGGGTTGACCAGGGTGGGAGGGGGTGGTAAGGGCGATGAATGGGTGAGGTGTGGGGGTAGGGTGATAGTGGGAGGGGGGGGTAGTGCAAGTGCCATTGAGCGGTGCCTGGTTCTTGCACCCTGGGGAGGAGTGACAGAGGGGCGCAGGGGCGCAGGCATGCGCGGCGTTGGGAGGAGGTGGGAGGCGATTCTGGATTTTGGGGAACGGTAGCCTGTGGGGGGGGGCGGGGGGGTGGTTCTGTCGTGAGGAGGGATGCTGTGGTGGGGTGGTGCTGTGGTGGGGTGGTGCTGTGGTGGGGTGGTGCTGTGGTGGTGGTGCTGTGGTGGGTGGCGCGAGGTGATGATACAGTGTAACACTCCACTCCCTCCCTTTGGAGTCCCGTCCACAGATCGTCTCGTTTCCACCCCCTCCCATTCGTGCATGGCTTTTGAATGGACCCCAGACTTCTCCCATCCCTGCATGCACCCATCTGCTACCCTCTTGTCGTTTCACCTCCCACACGTCCATACGCGACCCTTCATGGGCACACATCGGCTCCCTATGTCGATCTTCCCCCTCTCCCTTCTTCCCTCTTCCCCCCTCTCCCCGCCTCCCCCCTCTCCGTCCCTTCCCCCTCCCTCCCCCACGACCCCCCGTGTTGGCCTCTCCACGGGACCTGGCAGGTGGTGATTGACACGTCAGCAGGCCACTGTGGCACGGCGTTTGACGTGGCGGTGGTGTCGCCGCTGTTTGAGGGCAAGAGGCTGCTGGAGCGGCACCGCATGGTGAACAGTGCTCTTAGTGACGAGCTGCCTCACATCCATGCACTGAGCATCAAGAAGGCATGGACTCCCGAGCAGATGCAAGCTCAGCAGAACAAGTAGGGCAGTTGGCTGTTGAGAAACAAGTAGCCCCAAGAAACAAAGTTATTTTTCTTATTTGTAATGCAAGTTTGTTTGTTTGTTACACTGAGCAAGGAGCTGCCAGCCAGACACACATCCATGCATCGAGCATCGAGAAGGTATGCACGCATGCCCGAAGAGGAACGTCTAGCACATGACAGTGGACAAACTAGTAAACTAGTACAAAGCAAAGGGGAAAGAAAGAAAGAAAGAAAGAAAGAAAGTAGGTGATGCAGTGGAGAGCTGATGGAGCTGTCACGGGGAGGTACCTACCATATGATGAGTGCAGCCTAGAAGGCCTAGTGCAGTTTCTCATGGATGATTTGCTGAATGATGTCTTTGGGGTATTTAATGTTTGGGTTTATTTATCTTACCGTATGCGAGCTGCTTCAATTGCCCTCCGTACACGATAGTAATGGCGAGTGAGCTTTGAAAGAAATTATCCTCCAGTGTTCGATACAATGCGGCAATGCGACAAGTTTTCCATATGACCCAAACAGCGCAAACACTGTTCAACGTTGGTGGTTCGTTCGGCAGCAAAATCAAAGATCACGGAGCAACATCAATGCCCGTTGAGTAAGTGACAACGTGACCCAGACAAGACAAACGATGTGATATTCACCGTGGCCAAGCCTCGACATCCCCAAGCCTTCCCGCCACTAGATTTACGCATCAGCACGAGTGAGGCTCGGTGGAGAAGTGAAGCGGCGTGGAAAGATTGGGTGCGCAGTCCGTACCTCATCCTAACCAGCCTGCTCTGGCACCGAAGATAATACTTGTTTTACGGAACTGCCCGTTTTCCCATCCAGAAAATGATGGAGCACTCTTAGCACATTCATAATTATATGCATAGCAATTTTACGCCCGGATACAGTTCGGTATTGAAGTGTAGTAAAGCAGGTGAAGGTTTCTATCTTCACACGTATCCAGCACTTTCTGTGGCTTCTGGTTCGGATGAGTAAGTTGCTGCCGTACCTACGCCAGCACAGCCAGATCAGCAAAGACCTCTAACTGTTCACGGTTCGCTTCGGTGGTTGATCTGGCAGGGGTTTGGTTTGGTAGGCCTTGTCGGGTATTTGAAGTTGGGTCTCTCACCCCTTCGCATCCATCATCTTGAAACCCTCGTCTGTCTTCAACTTTCCTGCTGTGTGTCCATACCCAACAGACCTTGTATTAGGTTGACTGTCTGCTTAGACTGCTAACGCTCTCCACAAAGCACACCAAACCATCACCATGCCTGTTGATGTTGCCGAGATGTCCTGTCCTAAGCTTCTCAGACCAGAGGCCTGTACTGCTCATGTCGTCAGGCCCCAGGCTGTTAAGTACGGAGGCGCTTTTTCTCCACCGTCGGACCTGGCGAAGCATAGTACTTGTCTTCGGTAAGTCATGATGGTCTTATTTCAGTATCCAGGCATCTGCAATTGACTTTCACCTGCTATATGTCGGATGGAATCTGTGAGGTCAGTTGCAACCGTTTAATATTCGTTTGTTCTCTTATTTCAGGTCATGCAGTAGAGGAGACGACGATATTGGCTCTGAACTTCTCGACATTTTTTTGTCGAAAGTACGTCTGTTTGAATGTTCTTCTGCCGTCGATGATTCTAGTAGTACGTATAGATAATGCTGATTCCTTTTATGAATCTGTCATCTCACGGTACTCTTTTTATTGTGTGCAGAGCGATGGCGGTGGAAGCTTGAGCTCTTTGGCGTTCACTCCACCTTGTAGATCTGGTAATCCGCTTATCAAAGATGTCAACTTCCTACAGTCGAACTCGCCATCGCCGAACATTTTCCCAGTTTCCTGTCGGGTTTCCGCAGCCGTCGCACCTGTCCGCAGGGTCGAGGGATTCTTCTCGCCTCGCGTTTTTGACAGCGGTTGCCCCAGCGCATCTGGTATACTATAGATTCCTGGGACGCTTGGAGAGGAGGAGGTTGGGTGCAGAGTGCAATCATGTTGTCGTGGGAGCTCCTGCAGCCGTCAGCTTCAATCCTTTGAGCGTCTGGAGGGTTGTACATGCCATTTTTGCCCAAGGAAAGACGTTATCGTCTTCGTTTTTGAGGCGCGAGTAGCTGTATATAGGATTACAGCCCTTAGAGCTATCTGTATGGGTGATATAAATTTATAATGTTTTGACTGATGTATCATCATGCAATAAACAAAGTTGACAGTGCAAGGTGGTTACCGATAGTTCGCCAACCGGACAGGCTGAGTTCAACTCTTGATAGCTGGATTTGAATACGAGGTGGTAACATACTATGTTTTACACTTGTCCTTCACAGTTGACTCAAGCTAATTGTGGACGGCAGTGTGTACAGGGATGCCTTTTCTGGTGCGGAATGATCCTGGGTAGTGGTAAAGTAAAAAAGCTAGGACGCAACCGTGACAAACGAACCATACAACATTACTCGTGCCATCCCGTCAATACTCGCAGATTTAGACTACTCGAAGCAATTAATTCATCGACAAATGTTGAATAACAATCGTAATATATAATCCAGTACATATCAGTGAAGCTTATGCCCACCAGGGGGCTTCGCCTGTCCTGAAGTCGGTCTCGGGCCACGAGCTGAAAAACACCCTGCCGTCAACAATGTCGACGTGTGCAAGAGCAAGCGACTGTAAAAAGAACACAAAAGGGAGTCAGAACGATAATCCAACAAAGAACGCATCGACTAGTTCCACAACAGACCGTTGGAAGGTAATGCCAGGACTAGCACTACTTACCAGGGGAGCAGGGCCGCGAACAACCTTGCCCTGGTTGTCATACTGAGAACCGTGGCAGGGGCACATGAACTTGTTCTCGGCAGGGTTCCAGGGCACGACGCATCCGAGATGAGTGCACACGGCGTTCACACCATAGGGCGCGAGCTGGCCGTCGTTCTCAACCACAAGGTAGGTAGGGTCACCCTGGAACACAACGGGAACAGGTGTTCAGATGACGTGACAATCAAAATATACAAATCTAGCGTGATCTACCATCTAGTAAGCCGCACCTTAAGACCCTCGGCAAGGGTCCTGTCACCAGGGCCGTGGACCTTCAACCAGCCCTCGGCAGTGACCTCTTGGCCAAAAGCATCACGCGCCACGAGTCCACCACCCGAGCCACCGGAGCTGTCGCGTGAAGAGGAGCACATGTCAGAAACCGTACAGTAGCAGCTGAATAAACAGCATAAGAGCCGCGAAGATACATTACCCGGGGGGAACAAGCACGTAGAGCCAGCCACCGAGAACGGCGGTGCCGGGAACCGCGACGGCACCAGCGAGGAGAAGGTTCATGAGGTTGCGGCGACCCATGTCGGGCACAAAGGAGGGAGCACCGGCCATGGCAACGGTGGCGGACGCCTTCCTGTTGACGGCGACCGCCCGGACAGTCTTCAGCGACTTGGCATCGCCGAAAACGGAGGCCTTAGCGGCTGCGAGCTGCAAATGGACGACATACGGAATCTGTTAGGACTACAGCATTTACGGCGAAACCTCTCACAAACACAGCTTTGCAACAATGCTCTACCGAGACTAGAGTGGATACCTGGGGAACGGCAGCAGCCTTGGTGGCGAGGGAGGCAGCCATGGTTGATGGGTGTTTTTTGGTTGTTGGAGTGATGGAGGCCTACCAAAAGCTGCTGGGAGACAAAGTGACTGAAACCCCACCTCTGAGAAATCACCCTAGCCTGGACCCCACAGAAGCTGGCTCAGGAGTGGATCTCTGGGGTTCCCGTTGAGTGGATACGGGTCAGGGAGGGCTGCACCAATCAAGTACGAACGGACGGTCGTGGACGATGTGGCACTTCGATCTGACGGCAGAAAGTGCACGAGAAACTGTTGTGGAGGGTGATGCGGCTCTTATCTGTTGACGTGGCGTAAGCCACCCGCGGAAAGTACGTCTGCACGCCACCTGTTTGGTTCGCGAGTGATCGTGGCCCCGAACCTCGGGGCTTGTGCAGGTTACAGGTTGAACGCCTCCGTGCGAGCCCTTTCGCACGAAATCTTCGCTGGACCTCATGTGGTCAGGCAACTTTGAAATGCATCGCGTAGCGAAACTTTCTTCATATTCACTCTACACTTCACTGATATATTTCTTTACATCGACCTAACCTTAACATAACAAATTTCTTCTGTCAAATTTCAAAATCATTGCACACTACTATGAAGAGATTACGCTGTTGCAATATCTAATACGGGTCGCTCCAATTTCTACAATTTAAAACTTAATTTCGTGCATGTGTGTAGGAAAGTGCTAGGTATCTGTGCACATGCTGATGCTGCTTCTTGGCTGCATGAAGCAGATGTACTAAAACGTAAAATGAAGCCCGTTATGTAGAATGAAGAGAGACGTGATTTGGCTCCGTTTGTTACGGGTGCAATGAATCAAGGTAGCGAGGATTACACTAAGATGTCAAACGAGTACAAAATGTGAGCGAAGGCATGAGCGAACATTTATACGCGAAACATGCAAACGGTAACGCGGTGCGTGCGAGCTAGCTAGTGCTATGCTGGCAGCAAGGCTCGGGCTAGTCCGAAGCGTAAGCCGACACGGCCGGGCCAGCAGTGCGAGGTTTGGTGAAACAGTGCGCGCGAAGTCGGCGAAGCCCCGTTAGCAGTAACGGGCGAACAACGGCTGCGGCTGTACGCGATGTTCCAGGGCGCGCTAAGGAATGTCGAGAAAATTCCTTACACTACCCCCCCCCTCAAGAAGCCCCCTCCGCTACGCGAGTGCGTGTATATCGCGGAAACCCCGGCTCCTCAGGTACATGTGAGAAAGAGGAATGAATAGACTAGAACAAGGTTGGGTACAAGTAGGAAACCCTAGGAAACTGTACCCCTTAGTGTCTACCCCACTATAGCCTAGACAAGCTATATGATAGATGTTTGACACACCCCCATAGGCAAAGTGGGGGAGAACAAGAGGTCACAAGACCAGTCAAGCAAAGCACAGCAAGCTCAGGGTGGATCACAACGTCACCACACATTCCGAGCACAAGTTCAAAGGCCACAAGGCCAGTTCACATGCAGGATTATATATAAAGGTAAACATGCAAGTGCAGGTATATATAGATCACAGTACAAAGCAAAGTCAAGACGTAAGCAAGTGAGGCCAGGTAGGTACAAGACCTAACATAGTACAGAAGCGCTGATGATCACAAGGCTGAAGTGCCTTGGTGAAGATATCAGCAGTGTTGGCCCGAGAGGCCATGTAAGCAAGGCGCAGCTGACCACGCTGCTGCAGTTCACGAGCAAGGAAGTACCGAAGAGCAATGTGCTTCGTTCTGTGCTCCTGTCTGTGCTCCCGACACAAGGCCAGCATGACCTTGTTGTCTACGTACAGAACTGGAGGAGAACGAGGCGGCTCTCCGAGGTCAGTCAGCAGGTAGGTGAGCCAGCGTAACTCCTGTGCAGCCATGGCCCCAGCGTAGATCTCAGCCTCACAGCTAGAGATGAGAACAGAAGACGAGCGGGTAGACCGCCACGAAACAGAGCCGGAACCAAGGCTGAAGGTGTAACCCTGTGACGACCGCTGCGTAGCCAAGTCGTCAACCCAAGACGCGTCTGCGTGACCAGTGAGGACCACTGGACTCCGCCCTCCAAGCACTAGCCCCATGCCCAACGTACTGCACAAGTAGCGCAACACCCTCTTCGCTGCAGCCATGTGCTCTGGTCGGTGTCTCCCAGGAGCAACATAGCGTGCCAAGATGCTAAGAGGGTATGCCAGGTCAGGTCGAGTGCAGGTCATCAGGTACATGAGGCAGCCAACAAGCTCTGGGTACGGGCCACTCGGCTCTACGGACTCATCCGAAGGCAGAGCTGAGAGCGAGTGGCGAGTAGACAGAGGAGTGGCCTGAGGCGAGGAGTACGTGAAGTCGAAGCGCTGAAGGACCTGCTGCACCATGTGTGACTGAGTCAAGGTAATGGTGCGTCGTGCTCTGTCCCGGGTGATCTGCAAGCCAAGATAGCTGCGCAGTTCACCCAGGTCTGTGCACGTGTGTCTCTTCTGCAGCTCGGACTTCACGTGGGCGAGTCCTGCAGTGTCAGCAGTAGCAAAAACCAGGTCGTCGACGTACACGAGGATGTAGAACGGCGGCAAAGAGGTGTCGGTGCGTAGAAACAGCGACGGGTCAGCAGTAGAAGGAGCAAACCCAAGAGCCGCAAGCGTAGTCCTCAGTGTGTTGTGCCACTCACGGGGTGCCTGGCGGAGACCGTAGACTGGCCGCCGGAGGCTCCACTGGGTACCAGGAGGAAACGACCCTGTGAAGCCAGGAGGGCGGCGCAGCCAAATCTCCTCGTGCAGGCTGCCCTGTAGGAAAGCAGTGCTGAAGTCAAGAGAGTGAAGCTCGTAGTCGCGCTGAGCGGCTATGTGCAGCAGCACCCGAAGAGTGGTCATCTTCGGGGTGGGAGAGAAGGTCTGAAAGTAGTCAACTCCCTGCCGCTGACTGAAGCCTCGAGCCACGTAACGCGCCTTGAAGACAGGCGGAGAACCCGGCGGCCGCTTCACCCTGAAGATCCACATGCCACTGACGATGTTCGCCCCAGGTGGGGGAACCTCGTCGACGTAGGTGCCTGTGGACTTCCAGGAAGCCATCTCTGCGTCCATGGCTGTCTGCCACTGAGAGGAGTAGGGACCCTCTATCGCCTCTGCGTAAGAGCGCGGGGTCGGGATGTCTGGTGCATCCAGGTCTCCCTCAGGGGCAAGCAGCATGGACACGAGATGAGGTAAAGCAGCAGCGAAACACTGGAACTCCTCCTGCCTGTCCTCAAGGACGTCCGTGCTAAGAGCACACTCACCCCCGACGGACGGAGGACAGACAGACTCAGACCCAGCAACAAGACTAGCGGCGTAGTCTAGACGACAGTGAGCAGCAAAGTCGACAAGCTCAACAACTAAGGCAGACGCAACAGTGGACTCAAAGGAAGGGTCAGTGACAACAGTGGCCAGGAGACGCGTGACAGTAGGACTGGCAGCACGAAGGGAGTCAGACTCCGGGTCAGCAAGGGCAGGAAGAGAGGACGCAGGAGGAGCCGGCAGAGGGACACGCTGCGGAGCAGTGGAAGGACGCAGAGCCATCTGGTGTGTGCCAGGGACAGGAGGAGGACGCTGACGCGAACCACGACGACTGGTGCGAGCAGCACGAACAGGCGACGTAGGACGAGACGTAGGCGACACAGGACGAGACTCAGGCTCACGCCCTTCGCAAGACCTCCGGTCGGACCTGTGGGGAGGCTGGCTGTAAGGAGAAAGAGCAGGCAGTGGGGAGGCAGGCTGTAACTGTGACTCGGACTGGACAGGCTGTGGACACTCTACGGAAGGAGCAGGACCAGTAGAAGGCGGGAGACCAAGAACCTGCTCAAGGAGCGGAACGAAGTACGGCCGCGGCCGCGCAGCGCCTCCAGAACCAGCAGGGACAGCACCAGCACCCCCAGCGTGAGCTCCAACTCCTGCAGCACCAACAGCTCCAGCAACACCTCCAGCAGCTCCAGTAGCGCCAACTCCAGCACCCCCAGGAGCACCGGCTCCAGCAGCACCTCCAGCTCCAGCACCTCCAGCTCCAGCAGGACCACCAGAAGCCCCAGGAGCCTCAGCAGCGCTAGGGCCAGCACCCCCAGCAGCACAAGGTCCAGTAGTACCGCCAGCTCCAGCACCTCCAGTACGAGCACCTCCGGGAGGGGGCGATGTTAGAATGTAGAACTGAACGAGAATGTGTGAAACTAGGCAGCAGGGTGATACAAGTAGGAAACCCTAGCAATGTTGTACCCCCTAAGGCTAAACCCACTATAGCCTACACAATATGAACATGTATAATGTTTGACACACCCCCATAGGCTAAGTGGGAGACAACCAGATGGTCACAAGACCAGCCAAAGCAAAGCAAAGCAAGCTCAGGGTGGATCTCAAGGAAACCACACAAATTCCGAGCACAAGCAAGTGGTCACAAGACCAGTTCACATGCAGTTTGATAATATAACAAGAGGTACAGTGATCACAACCTAACAAGAGTAAACATGCAGGCATATATATATAGAGATCACAGTACAAGCAGAGTCAAGAAGTGAGCAAGTGAGGGAGAGTAGGCACAAGGCCTAGAACAGTACAGAAACGCTGATGGTCACAAGGCTGAAGCGCCTTGGTGAACACATCAGCAGTGTTGGCCCGAGTGGCCACGTAACGCAGACGAAGCTGACCACGCTGCTGCAGCTCTCGAGCAAGGAAGTAGCGCAGAGCGATGTGCTTCGTCCTGTGCTCCAGTCTGTGCTCCTCACACAAGGCAATGGCGGCCTTGTTGTCAACGTACAGCACTGGAGGAGAACGAGGCCGCTCTCCCAGGTCGGTCAGCAGGTAGGTGAGCCAGCGTAACTCCTGTGCAGCCATGGCTGTGGCGTAGATCTCAGCCTCACAACTGGAGCTGAGAACAGAAGAAGAGCGAGTAGAACGCCAAGAAACTGAACCAGAGCCAAGGCTGAAGGTGTAACCCTGAGACGACCGCTGCGTAGCCTGGTCGTCAGCCCAAGAAGCGTCTGAGTGACCCGTGAGGACAACGTCGCTCCGACCTCCAAGCACGAGCCCCATGCCCGACGTAC